AAGTTTTTTTTTGTCGTTTTGTCATTTTTTTTATAATTTTTTTCATTATTCTCGTTGTTTTTGGTGCAGGTTTATTTGTTTCTCTTCATTTTCATTATTTTCTTCGTGTTCTCCTCCCTTACGAGATATGTTTATATAATAAAATTTATCCTTAGTTGTTTGTGCAAACTTTTTTTGTTAAAAACTGAAGGAAAAGAAAAAAGAATGAAAAAATATATACACAGATTTAACTGATACGTAAGTAGCTATATACAATAAATGAATATGTGTGTAAATATGTATGATAAGTGAGGCAGAGGTTGTGCTGGAGACAACGGGAAAAACAGTGATAGGCACAAAAATAGGTAATCAAATAGGGAAGGAGAGAGAGGATGAAAGAGGCAAAGAAAAATTTGCACTTGCCAAGAGAGTCTAAGGAGGCCATGCATAATAAAAACTCCTCTCACAGGCTATTATATTACCCGTGGAGGAGACATAAACAACACTGTGTGTGTGTGTGTGTGTGTGTGTGTGGTGTGTGTGTGTGTGTGTGTGTGTGTGTGTGTGTGTGTGTGTGTGTGTGTGTGGGGTGTGTGTGTGAGGAGGAGAAAGAAGAGAGAGAGAGAGAGAGAGAGAGAGAGAGAGAAAGAGAGATTTTCAGCCAAGAGGTACAGTAGTACATCTACAGCAAGAAACTATCATGGAAATGGTGGAAGGGAAAAAAAAACACTTTCTGACACAAAGAACGTCAAGTCACACTGAAGAAAGGAACGTCAAGTCACACTGAAGAAAGGAACGTCAATCACACTGAAAAAAAGAACGTCAAGTCACACGTTAGAAGAGAACGTCAAGTCACACTGAAGAAAGGAACGTCAAGTCACACTGAAAAAAAGAACGTCAAGTCACACGTTAGAAGAGAACGTCAAGTCACACTGAAGAAGAGAACGTCAAGTCACACTGAAGAAGAGAACGTCAAGTCACACTGAAGAAAGGAACGTCAAGTCACACTGAAGAAAAGAACGTCAAGTCACACGTTAGAAGAGAACGTCAAGTCACACTGAAGAAGAGAACGTCAAGTCACACTGAAGAAGAGAACGTCAAGTCACACTGAAGAAAGGAACGTCAAGTCACACTGAAGAAAAGAACGTCAAGTCACACGTTAGAAGAGAACGTCAAGTCACACTGAAGAAGAGAACGTCAAGCCCACACTGAGAAGAAACGTCAAGTCACACTGAAGAAAGGAAACGTCAAGTCACACTGAAGAAAAGAACTCAAGTCCCCACGTTAAGAAGAGAACGTCAAGTCACACTGAACAAGAGAACGTCAAGTCACACTGAAGAAGAAAACGTCAAGTCACACTGAAGAAGAGAACGTCAAGTCACACTGAACAAGAGAACGTCAAGTCACACTGAAGAAGAGAACGTCAAGTCACACTGAAGAAGAAAAACGTCAAGTCAAAACTGAAGAAGAGAACGTCAAGTCACACTGAAGAAGAGAACGTCAAGTCACACTGAAGAAGAGAACGTCAAGTCACACTGAAGAAGAGAACGTCAAGTCACACTGAAGAAGAGAACGTCAAGTCACACTGAACAAGAGAACGTCAAGTCACACTGAAGAAGAGAACGTCAAGTCACACTGAAGAAGAGAACGTCAAGTCAAACGTTGACGAAGCAGCTGATAAATCCCTTTAACTCGCCGTGGGTTCAAAACCCACTCGTTCCCTAATGTGTTTACAATCGTATTATTACGATTTCGTGAGTCGTATTATAAATAACTACAGCATGAAAATACCAAATAGAGATTATTATTTGCGATTACTGAAGCTCATGGGTTTAGCGCTTCAAAGCGTACACTACATCCGACTTCTATTATCATACTACACTTCACTACAGTGATCAAGAGTTGTCATCCCATCTCGGTGGGATGACAACCTCGGTGGGATGGCTAACCTCCACCTGTGGGGTGGAGGTTGGCCTCCACCCCACAGGATGACACCCACAACATTTGACTAGCATGCAGGTACCTGTTGACTACTAGGTGAACAGGGAATTAACTGTGACAACTCAGAAAGCAAGTTCGAGAGTTGGTTTTTTCAGTGAGGCCATATCCCATTACTGACTGCCTGATTAACCAGGCCTACAAAGCCATCAGGATACATGATGCAGAACAACTTTTTTCGGGGACAACGTTGGTTAAAAGTAAAACTTCTAACCTAATAATATTCTGATGCTATGATGAAGTGGGATTCACCAGGGATGAAGAACCTGGTGGAAAGGACCTCAAAAATAGAAACATATATACCGTGAAGTGCATTTTCTTCGGTGTATATACGCTGAGAGTTTATTCTAATCCCTATTTGAGGAATTAAAATATTTTTGACTGATGGTGAACAGGTGAGATGCAGCCTTAATGACCCCCGTGTGGCGCAGAGGCTTTCAATCCACTTATTAGCCAACCAATAATCATCATCTACAGTGTTATCTCTGACAGGTAGAAGGCGAATAAAAAATATAGGACTTACCCACAATATTGAGCCTGACAGAGAGGACCTTGGGAGGGTGCGTGGACACCTGGCACTCGTAGCTGCCCTGGTCTCGACGCTGGGTATATTTGATCTGAAGTTTCCAGTTGTTGGGGTGTTCGAAGTTCAGCGAGTACCTAGACGTCGAAAATTTTAAGGAGAGACAAAAAATCTGCTTTAAAAACCAATAATGAAGACGAAGACTCAACATGCATGTGCATCATTTGGGAGTCCTTACTGTCGAAGCATTTCGCCTTCTCAACAGGCTTCTTCTGAATGATGGAGACAGCAGTTGTAGTGGAGAGGTAAACATGAGGTGATCAGTTTGGACAATAAGATAGCCAACTGTTGCACACGTGCCAGTCCTGTACTCCATTAACATTATGGAACAAAGACTGAAGTTACAGGAAGAAAAAGCTTTTACTGGAAGAGCTTTTCACGCTCTGTGAAGTTATGTCAATAAAAGTTCCTTCTGAAGCTTCTGCCTCTGTGTTCATTCTAGTTAACAATACGACAGTTCATGCAAAATATTTCACATAAAAATAAAGTCAGGGAGTAATACAATAGTGGTAGGAATTGAGTAATGTAAGGAATTAAGTTACCAGAGGATGAATAATGCTTTCATTGAAGATTTTTTAAGTAATGTATGTGTTACGCAGGCAGCTGCTTGTGGTTGGTTGGTGGGGAGGAGTGGTGACAGGGATGGTAGCTGCTTGTGACTGGGTGGTGGGGAGGGGTGTGACAGGGAAAGGTAGCTGCTTGTGACTGGGTGGTGGGGAGGACTGGTGACAGGGATGGTAGCTGCTTGTGACTGGGTGGTGGGGAGGAGTGGTGACAGGGATGGTAGCTGCTTGTGACTGGGTGGTGGGGGGGATGGTGACAGGGGTGGTAAGCTGCTTGTGACTGGTGGTGGGGAGGAGTGTGACAGGGAGGTAGCGCTTGTGACTGGGTGGTGGGGGGGAGTGTGACAGGGAAAGGTAGCTGCTTGTGACTGGGTGGGGGGAGGAGTGGTTTACAGGGATTGTGGCTGCTTGTGACTGGTGGGGGGGAGTGGTGACAGGGATGGTAGCTGCTTGTGACTGGGTGGTGGGGAGGAGTGGTGACAGGGATGGTAGCTGCTTGTGACTGGGTGGTGGGGAGGAGTGGTGACAGGGATGGTAGCTGCTTGTGACTGGGTGGTGGGGAGGAGTGGTGACAGGGATGGTAGCTGCTTGTGACTGGGTGGTGGGAGGACTGGTGACAGGGATGGTACTGCTTGTGACTGGGTGGTGGGAGGAGTGGTGACAGGGATGGTAGCTGCTTGTGACTGGTGGGGAGGAGTGGTGACAGGGATGGTAGCTGCTTGTGGTTGGGTGGGGGAGAGTGGTGACAGGGATGGTAGCTGCTTTTGACTGGGTGGGGGGAGGAGTGGTGACAGGGAAGGTACTGCTTGTGACTGGGTGGTGGGGAGGAGTGGGGACAGGGTGGTAGCTGCTTGGTTGGGGTGGGGGATGAGTGTGACAGGGATGGTAGCTGCTTGTGGGGGGTGGGGGGTGTGGAAGGGGTGAATGCTTATGGGGGGTGGTAGGGTGGCTTAGTTTTGGGGGGTGGGGGGTGAGGAGTGGTGACAGGGTGGTAGTTGCTTGTGAATGGGGGTGGGGAGGAGTGTGATAGGATGGTAGCTGCTTATGCTGGGTGCTGGGGAAGATTGTGACAGGGGTGGTAGCTGCTTGTGGCTGGGTGGGTGGGAGGGGTGGGGACAGTATGGTAGCGCTTGTACTGGGTGGCGGGAGGAGTCGTTTACAGGGCGGTAGCTGCTTGTGGCTGGGTGGTGGGGAGGAGTGGTAACAGGGATGGTAGCTGCTTATGGCTGGGTACTGGGGAAGAGTTGTGATAGGGATGGTAGCTGCTTGTGGCTGGGTGGTGGGGAGGAGTGGTGACAGGGATGGTAGCTGCTTGTGGCTGGGTGATGAGGAGGTGCCATGACAAGGATGGTAACTGCTTGTGGCTGGGTGCTGGGGAGGTGTCATGACAACGGTGGTAACTGCTTGTGGCTGGGTGGTGGGGAGTGGTGACAGGTGTGGTAGCTGCTTGTGGCTAGGTGGTGGGGAGTGGTGACAGGTGTGGTAGCTGCTTGTGGCTAGGTGGTGGGGACACTGTGGGTGCGGTGTGTGGTATGGAGATGAGAGTGGGAGGGTTTGGGGTAGCGAAACTGGGTGTAAGATAGAGGAAATAAGGATGGGATCGAGTGATGGTGGTAAGGGATGGAATTCAAGCCCGTCTTCCAACCCCATTCCACACACACACACACACACACACACACACATACACACACACACACCAAAATAAAGATGGTGTACAAAGCTTGAGGAAAGCTCCCGGCTAGTTGCTTACAATGGTAAAAGTTTTCTTATCATTTTTTTGGAGTTTTTATCCAAACAAGAGAAAGTTTTCTTCTTGGATGTGGAGAAAGGGTTGCAAGAATGGCGTAACCTGCAGGGCATTTTCCTTTTCTCTCACC